TATATATATATATATATATATATATATATATATATATATATATATATATATATATATATATATATATATATATATATATATATATATATGTATACGAAACGTACTAGTTTTGTGTCCGAAATGGTAAAAATATGTCTTGGCTAGTATCCCCTGTAACTATGGTAAAGTTAATACGTCTTATAATAATTATAGTAAATTAATTAGTTTGCATTTTACGAATGATTTAATATTATTAAATCACGAAACTTATGATTATTTGCGTGGATTATTTTGTTAATTTTTTGTTTTTGTTTACTTTTGCTCCACAAAATAATGTAATTTGAAACAAAGCCTAATAATTAAGATAATGTTAAGTAAAACTAAATCTTACAAGTTTACCTACAGTGTTCAGAAGTGAAAACAAAAAATATATAAAAAAATAATAGGGGTGGTAGGAGAGGAACCATGAGTGTAGTAACCCCATGAGTGAGAAACCATCTGTTTTCAGTCCCACATTGTGGCTTTGTTGAGCTTGAAACCGTTGCTACTTGTTTGTTACACCTGACCATTAGAAGAAATGGTGTGGTTCAATATCCTTCTAATTGTTCAGTATTTTAATAGTTTTGATGAGATCAGTCCTGTCATGTTTCTGCAGTGTTGTTAGCCCTGTGGCCCTCAACCGTTCCTGGTATGAGAGTCGACTTAGTTCTGAGATGATTTGTGTGACTTCACACACACAATCACACACACACGCTCTCATCCTGTCACTACACTTAGAAAGTTAATGGTCACGACGTTAGACATATCAAAGTCTATAACGTCGGACTGGTGACCCTTCCCTGGATGCAACCCCACAACAGTTGACTAACTCCCGGGTGCCTATGTACTGCTAGGGAAACAGATGCATTAGGTGATAGGGAACGAATTATCATTTACGGCTTCGTCGGGAAGATGGTTTCCATGAATTTACTCGAGGGTGGCCCTCGGGCAAATTCAGGTCTCAAAATTCAAAAATTTAAAAATCTCTCTAGTGGTCTCGACGAGAGCAGGAAGGTTGTCTGGCTTATCGAAGGCCCCTCCCAATTTTTGGGGGGATTTTATCGAGCAATGTTTTGGCATTTACGACTTCAGCGGGTATGCGTTTCCACAACTTTATAATTCTATGGGTGAAAACAAATATTTTCCATCCTTCAGTGTGACTTGTTGAGCTCGAAACCATTGTTTCTTGTTCGTCTTACATCTTCTAGCCTTTTGAAGAAGTGTTCTCGATTAATATCTTCCAAATTGTTCGGTAATTTAAAAGTTTTGCTGAGAGCAGACTGTCATGTCTGGTCCCTGTGGCCCTCAACCGTTCTTGGCACAGGAGCCGGGCTGTAACTGCTTATTTGTGATTGATTGATGAAGATTAAGCCACCCAAGAGGTGGCACGGGCATGAATAGCCCGTAAGTGGAAGATTTTTTTTGGAGTGAATGTGATCTTTGTGGTCGTGAAAGGATATATATACTCTGCGTGCTGTGCTCGCATTTAAATCGTCAGTCTGTGGCTGCTATCGCGGGGTGCTTGTTTGTGTTGCATCTGATCCTAAATAATCATAATTGAGTTTCTTAACATTAATAGCCCAAATTAGCACATCTTGCTTTTAAATTAGCCCAAAAAGTAGCAAGTAGCGAAATTAAAAATTTGGGAGCGCGGGGCTCTCAAAAGTAGCCCAATTCGCTATTTGTAGCCCAATCTGGCAACACTGTTCCTGAGCTTCTCGAGCCCTATCATATCTACATTTGGAACTGTGTATGGAGTCAGCCTCCACCACATCACTTCCTAGTGCATTCCATTTACTAACTACTCTGACAGTGAAAAAGTTCTTTCTAATGTCTCTGTGGCTCATTTGGGTACTTAGTTTACACCTGTGTCCCCTCTACTTGCACAGTTGCGGTAATAACAATTAGAGTGAGGTTACCAGTTATCAAAAAAGGAAAATTATGTTTAATGTATGTGGGACCTAATCCGCTTGCTGATCTGGGGTGAAATTTTGGGTTCAATTTCAGTCCAAATGTGCCTCTATAACCATTCCCGATATGGGATGTGTATGGGTTACATAATAAATTAACGAAATCCAACTGACCAGTTGCAACAATATTTTACCCATTTCAAAGGGTCATAAAAGTGTCATTAATTGAAACTAATATATTTGTGAAGAAAAGAACCCATCATCCCCCCCCCTAACGTACCTGTGACATATTGTCTAGGTCATGTAAGCCGGTTTTGCCAAGACAAGATGGTTGCCGTGTTTGGCAGGGTGTGGTTAACGCCTTTCTCGCCCCTGGTCTGAGGCTGCCATATATAAAGCAACATTCCTGGCCGCCCATGCAGACACCAGCCGCCCGCCACCCACGACAGGAATATATTTAGCAGAGCCCGCACCCCTCACCCCCTCATGCTTCCCATCCTCATATATGGACGCAGGTAAAACTCATCATAATCGGTAAATCGATAATTTATCATCATATTTAGCCTCAGATTTTTCATCATATTTCGTCTGTCGATAACGTAACGTATCATATGTGATACACCTATAGTTCACCATAAGTGCGTGTCCTTCAGAGAAGTCAGCATTATAATTGATCCACAGTTAATTAACTTTATTTAAGCCACTTAATAATAATTTATTAAGGAATTGGGTTACATAAAAAAATACAACTGGCTTAATCTCGGTCTTTAGAATTGTAGCAGTTGCTGGTGTTAACATTGTCTGTTTCATTATTTACATTTATTTGCTACTTTTTTGTATTTTTTGTATTAACAAGCATAGGTATACACAGCAATATGCTGCTACCCTATTCTAAATGAGAGCTTACACAGTGTAGATCAAAAACTATCTATAAGTTCATCTAATATTCCCATCTCACAAGATGGTTAGTCATACATGGAATCATGAGAGAACATAAAATGCGAGGCTGATTTATTTTAGCCTCCACTAGCAAAATCTGGGTACGGAACAAGAATATCTTCCAATATTCCTGAGTGCATGAAGTAATTACAGAGCTCAAAGTATCTTATACCATTTGGTCTGAAATCACTGATAACAGGGTTATCACAGATATAGTGTATAGTGTTGGAGAATATGTCCCAGCTCTTGTTCACATAAGTTGCAATTGGAATGTTCACCATTGAGGGATTCATTACCTGCAGCCACCTGCCATAGATATCGATATCCCAGCCTAATTATAACAATTACAATATCACACTGTCTAGTGGATGTTTTGTGCTCCCCGTATATTTAATTCACGGTTCTAAACATGTCATAGCTCTGTATACTCGTGCTTTCTGGCCTTTGGGTGTCAGTAACTGCTCTTCTGTCTTCCCTAATTTTCTGAAATACTGAGGCTTCTACCGCAGAGATTGGAATACCCATACCAACTCAATTTCAGGCTCATCACATGCAGTAGCTGCCTTGTCTGTGTCATTATGCTGGACAACACCTATGTGAGATGGTGCCCATACAAATGAGACTAAAACTCTTGCTCTTTGCATTAATAATGTTGTTTATAATGAATGTTTTGTTGATGCTGTAGATGAGGATTTTCCTCTTGCCTTTCTATCTGTTCATATTGTATTCTTGTATTTTAAATAACAAATCATATATATTCGATAGGCTTATGGCATAATGCATAATGGGAATGAGAAATGTTTGTGATATTAATATAGCCAATAATTAGAATGATTAATATTAGCCTATTATGACTTTCGTGTGTAAATATCCAAACGGCAGTCAACTTAAATGATGCATTCATCAGTATTAACGTACTGCGTGTCAAGAATTTGTGTTTTCTAAAATATAAATTATTATTATTATATACAAATGTGTGTTGTATTGTGAGGCCTAACTTAGGAAGTTAGGCTCTGTTGAAAATTATTGGTAAATTAATCCGTCCTCAGGCTATGTTCATTGCATCCAGCGGCCGACCCCAAAGACGCATTCATAAATTTTAACATGCTGTTCATTCAAAATAGAAATGTTCTCAAATATAAGTTGCCATGATTATATATTAGCATATTGTGAATAGGCGTAGGTTAGGTGTTTACGTTCTGTTGGCGGTTATATCTGTATTTTAGGGTCCTGAGCCTGAACATAGTTCAGGACTAAACTTAATTAACTGTGTATAGGAGCTGAGAGGCGGAATGCGCCTCTCAGTGTATCTAATGTGCACCCATTTAAATGCGAGGTGGTTATATGTACAAAAGGTATTGCCTCGTGTAGTTTCTGTATCACAACTTAACATAACGGCAATATCTTTATCCATGAATACTCTATTGAGCACCATTTTTAATGCAATTATATTTTATCGGCATCATTAATGACAATAATATGATTTAAATAAAAATCAAATTATTAATTGATTTTTATATTGGAAAAATAAAATGATTTATACATATTAATATATATATATATATATATATATATATATATATATATATATATATATATATATATATATATATATATATATATATATATATGTGTATATATATATATATATATATATATATATATATATATATATATATATATATATATATATATATATATATATATATATATATATATGTGTGTATATCACGAAAATAAACACGTGATTAAGAATGTGACAATGTCAGACCACGGAGGAAAAATGAAACAGGAAATTTCCTTAAGTACTTTCGTATATTAAATACATCTTCAGAAGGACCTTCTGAAGATGTATTTAATATACGAAAGTACTTAAGGAAATTTCCTGTTTTATTTTTCCTCCGTGGTCTGACATTGTCATATATATATATAATATATATATATATATATATATATATATATATATATATATATATATATATATATATATATATATATATATATATATATATATATATATATATATATATATATATATATATATATATATATATATATATATATATATATATATATATATATAGTTTAATAGGGGTCCAAAATCAAGTTCTCTTTAAAAGATAACAACGATAAATTAACATATTTGAAGTTTACTACATTCATTCGAAATTTAAACATTCAGTGTACATTCACATCGCTCAATCATTATTGTATTCAGTGATTGCATGAATACTGGCAATCAATATGTTTGCGTCCATTTTCTCAACTGTCTGTTTATGTCTAGTCGACTTCCTCGACTGTGGGTCCCGAGCTAGCGGAAGCTCCTCCCTGGCCTCCGCCGGTGCCCTGCCCATGCACCTTGCTGGCCAGAGGACGCCACACTCTCTCTAACTCCTTCATCTGGTGCTCGTATTCCTCCTTCTCTGCCAGCTGGTTGGCGTCCAGCCAGTTGAGAGTTTCTTGAGCTTTCTCCTCGACGGATCTCTTCTCCTCGGCTGAGAGTTTGTCGCCAACTGAAGGTTCAGAGACTGCCGACTTGATGCTGAAGCACAGAGCCTCTAAGCGGTTCTTGGCTTCCACTCTTTCTCGTTGTTTGGCGTCGTCTTCGTGGTATTTCTCTGCTTCGTTTACCATTCTCTCTATCTCTTCTTTACTAAGGCGACCCTTGTCATTGGTGATAGTGATCTTGTTCTCCTTGCCGGTCGACTTGTCGGCCGCAGATACGTTAAGAATGCCATTAGCATCGATGTCGAAGGTTACTTCGATCTGAGGCACTCCGCGAGGTGCGGGAGGGATGCCACTCAATTCAAACTTGCCCAAAAGATTGTTGTCTTTTGTCATGGCTCGCTCTCCTTCATACACCTGGATCAACACACCTGGCTGGTTGTCAGAATACGTGGTGAATACTTGCTGTTGCTTGGTTGGGATGGTTGTGTTGCGTTTGATGAGAGCTGTCATCACTCCACCTGCTGTCTCTATACCCAGCGACAGAGGCGCCACGTCCAGCAGGAGAACATCCTTCACGCCCTCAGACTGGTCTCCGTGTAGGATGGCCGCTTGTACGGCAGCACCGTAGGCCACCGCCTCGTCTGGGTTGATTGATTTGTTGAGTTCCTTTCCGTTGAATAAGTCTTGCAGCAATTTTTGTATCTTTGGGATGCGGGTAGACCCTCCCACCAACACCAGTTCATGGATGCCAGCTTTGTCTATCTTTGCGTCTCTCAAAGCCTTCTCCACTGGCTCTAGTGTCCCTCGGAAGAGGTCTGAACACAGCTCTTCAAACCTGGCGCGGGTGATGGACGTGTAATAGTCAATACCCTCGAACAGAGAGTCGATCTCCACGCTGGCCTGAGTGGAGGATGAAAGAGTTCGTTTGGCTCTCTCGCAGGCAGTTCTCAGTCGACGAACAGCTCGTTTATTGCCACCTAAATCTTTCTTGTATTTTCTCTGGAACTCTTGTTTGAAGTGGTTCACCATTCTGTTGTCAAAATCTTCGCCGCCCAAGTGAGTATCTCCGGCAGTAGACTTTACCTCGAAGACGCCTTCATCGATGCTAAGGATCGACACATCGAAGGTTCCGCCGCCGAGGTCGAAGATCAAAACATTACGTTCTCCTCTACCGCCTACTTTTTTGTCAAGCCCATAAGCAATTGCGGCAGCAGTTGGCTCGTTGATAATCCTGAGAACATTGATGCCGGCAATAGCACCCGCGTCCTTAGTGGCTTGACGCTGGGAGTCGTTGAAGTAGGCGGGGACGGTGACAACGGCGTCTTTAACACTTCGACCAAGGAAAGCCTCAGCGGTCTCCTTCATCTTTGTGAGCACCATAGAGGAGATCTCCTCTGGGTTAAAGGTCTTAATCTCGCCCTTGTACTCCACCTTAACCTTGGGTTTTCCACCTTCGTTAACCACGGTGAAGGGCCAGTTCTTCATGTCGCTCTGTACTGCTGGGTCTTCGAACTTGCGTCCGATGAGGCGTTTGGCGTCGAATACAGTGTTGTTGGGGTTCATGGCCACCTGCAACGTTGAAAACACTTCCGTTAATCTCAAGTGAAATGCTATTATTTCGTTAAATTATAACAACATCACGTATAACAGTCATATTTACAACATACGTTAACAGCTGGTAAAGATGAAGGTGTGGCAAATGACCTGGTTCTTGGCGGCGTCACCGATGAGTCTCTCTGTGTCTGTGAAGGCGACGTAGGAGGGCGTGGTCCTGTTGCCCTGGTCGTTAGCGATGATCTCCACCTTGCCGTGCTGGAACACTCCCACACACGAGTACGTCGTCCCCAGGTCGATCCCGATAGCCGGAGCTGCCATCCTGCCAGCAAATCAACGTATGTCAACAACATTGTTGGGAGACAGAACTCAGTGGAAAGTCTGTACAAGGCATGATGGACTATATCACCCGGAAGTGTCAGGAGGCAGGAAATAGGTTTATCTCGGCCCAGAAAGAAAAAACAGAAACCAAAAATGGAGTCCGTGGTTCAATCAGGCATGTAAAGAAGCAAGGCAGCTAAGCACAAGGGTATGGAGAAACTACAGAAATAACACGACACCAGAGTACAGAGACAGAGATATCAGAGGGCCAGAGCTCAACCTCCACAAGTACAACTAGGTGAGTACATTTAAACATACTTCATAGTATAGTTTTCTTTAATCAAATAACATGGATTCTGTTGAAATGATAATAACAAATAACATATATTATGTGAATTACAACAGTATCTTATATACGCTATATTTTGCGTATATAAATACATATTATTAATTTAAAAATGTATAAATCCCATACACTTGACACTCGCAAATTATTGATAACCGTACGTATACTTACTTGATATACTTTGTCTTCAAGTAATAAGGTAGCTGGTGGGTGAACAAACCTCACCTTCCTCACAGCTCTCACTTCACTTTCCTTCTAGCTGTTCCTGGTCTTCCGCTGCTATATATAAGCGCTTATTTTCTGCCGAACTCCCTAGAATACTCGACGAGCAACGCTCACTGGCACAGCTCACAGTGACGTCACTAGTGGCCCAGAAGGTGATTGGCAGAGATGTTGAGAGTGGGTGTAGAAGGATGACGTCACCACCGGCTCAGAAAGTTAATTGGCAGAAATATTCAGTGGGTGTAAAACGATGACGTCACCACTGGCGGGTAAGGAGGTAACCCCCATCAGAAAATTAGTAAACGTGACTTCCTAGAGCCAAATATAATGTCCAGATTCTAGTAATAGTTAAGGTGCATTACAAATTAATGATAATATGTAACGTAGTATGTAAAATATTATGATAATATGTAATATGTGATGATAATATGTAACGTAATAATATGTGATGATAATATGTAACGTAATAATATGTGATGATAATATGTAACGTAATATGTAATATGTGATGATAATAGGTAAGACGGTATGTTGTTGATGATTTAGATTCAGCTACTGGGAACTAAAAGTTGCAAGCAGCACGGGCTATGGTGAACCCGTCGTACTCACCTGGCGCAGGAGGTGTTTACCGAGAGGGTAAACTTAACGTACCTTGCCTGCAACATTAGGCCTACCCAGTTCCCCACTTTTAGTTAACACAATTTAACCTAACCTACAGGAGCGCATGCGCTCCGAAAATGAAACGAAAACTCGTATATTTTTAGCCCTATTGATTTGGTATACCACTACCTCGGTACTGCTACACGCTCTCAAAATAATAATAATAGTAATTATTATTAATAATAATAATTAACAAGTTACCCAATCGTGTGTCAGCCATATATATATATATATATATATATATATATATATATATATATATATATATATATATATATATATATATATATATATATATATATATATATATATGTCGTACCTAGTAGCCAGATATATATTCTCATATATATATATATATATATATATATATATAATATTTGCCTATATAAGCCAAGTTTATATGAAATAATACATATTTCTCTATATTTTTTTCTATATGATAATGATAAATATACCCATATCATATATGTATATAGGTCAATTTAGCGCATATATATGGAGGTATATATATTAATATGCGTATACATATAACCGAACGAGTTCTCTCACCCTTGACAGTGGATTGACGAAAAAATGCAGACTAACCCCAATCTTTATAGGTGCCCTCGGGAAGGGAGATATTTAGCCGTATATATTAGGTTCGAAGTCTACTTCTTTTGTAGGTTGATGGTGTAGTGGAAAAAACATACTAATTATGAAAACTTGGCTTATTAGGCAAATTTGGCCTTGCATAGTAGGCTGAGAAGTGCGTTCTGGCTACTAGGTACGACATATATATATATATATATATATATATATATATATATATATATATATATATATATATATATATATATATATATATATATATATATATATATATATATATATATATATATATATATATACGTTCACCAGTTACTGTATCACCGTAGTATATTATCACCATTTTCTCGTCGGTGATCAGGTGATATAGGTCTATAAATATGACCTTCATAGATAATGTAGTCGCTAGGGAGGATGCGCCGAGGGTGTCTCTCCCCGATGACTCCGAGTGTTACTCATCTTTATTATTGCATAAGGCGTTCTTTAGCACCTCCATGTAGATCTACAGAAATACTGACTGCCCCCTTCCTTAATACTGTGAGTCATGTGAGTGTGTGTGTGTGTGTGCGCGCGCGCGTGTTAATAATAATAATAATAATAATCTTTATTTAGGTAAGGTACATACATAAAGAGATTTACAAAGTTTGTTGGCTTTATAGATAGAGCTAGTACATACAATGCCTAAAGCCACTATTACGCAAAGCGTTTCGGGCAGGAAAAACATTAATGACTACAGCTTAAAACTAATGGGTAAAAAGAAAAGATGTGATGAGTACATATAAAAAATAGAGGTAAAAGAGGGGGGAACATTGTTGAAAAAGCAGCACAAATACAATTACAAATTATTACAGAAAATTACATTCAAACAGCGTTGATTTGAAAAACAAAAAAACAAAAAATATACATGGGTTGACAACAGGGGGGTAAGGTGGGTTACATGGAATTTATTAGGTATAGCTTCGTTTTTAACTTAAACTGGTTGAGAGAGGTACAGTCTTTAACATGGTTGGGAAGGTCATTCCACATTCTGGGCCCCTTGATTTGTAGAGCATTTCTGGTTTGATTTAGTCGTACTCTAGGAATATCAAAACTGTATTTATTTCTGGTGTGGTGCTCATGGGTTCTGTTACAACCTTCTATGAAGCTTTTGAGATCAGGATTGGCATTATAGGTTAGCGTTTTATATATGTATAATACACATGAGAGAATGTGCAGTGACTTAATGTCTAACATATTCAGAGATTTGAGTAGGGGTACCGAGTGATGTCTGGGGCCAGAATTGGATATTGTCCTAATAGCAGCTTTGTGTTGAGTAATTAGAGGACGTAAGTGATTTTGGGTAGTAGAGCCCCCAAGCACAAATACCATAGTTGAGATATGGATAGATAAGGGAGTAATAGAGAGTCACCAGGGCAGGGCGTGGTACATAATATCTGATCTTAGAAAGAATGCCCACAGTTTTTGAAACTTTTTTTGATATGTTTAGAATGTGTCCCTGGAAATTCAGCTTGTGGTCAATGAGAATGCCAAGGAATTTGCCATCTAATTTGTTACAAATTTGGGTATTGTTTATTTTGAGATTTATTTGATTAGAGGATTTATTGCCAAACAGAATATAGAAAGTTTTATCAATGTTAAGGGTGAGTTTGTTGGCAGTTAGCCACAGATGGATTTTATTAAGCTCAGTATTTACTGTGGCATTTAGAGCAAGGGGATCAGGACTGGAGTAAATGAAGGTTGTGTCATCAGCAAATAGAATTGGTTTGAGGTGTTGGGAGGCATTTGGAAGGTCATTAATGTAGATGAGAAAGAGGAGAGGGCCAAGTATGCTGCCCTGGGGAACACCAATGTTGATGGGTAGTGTGGGAGAAATTGTATTATTCACAGAAACACATTGGAGCCTTTCAGTAAGGTAGGATTTGAGGTATTGTAGGGAGTGTCCTCTGACACCATAATGATGTAATTTAAGAAGAAGGTTTTGGTGGTTGACAGTATCGAAAGCTTTACGCAGGTCCACAAATAACCCAACAGGGAACTCATTTTGATCAAGAGCTGTATGAATCGAGTTAAGCATACTAATAAGTGCATCGTTAGTGCTTTTTTTGGGCCTGAAGCCATATTGGCAAGGGCTAAGTATATTGAGTTTGGCTAGATATGAGTAAAGCTGCTTATAGATTAGTTTTTCAAAAAATTTTGACAAGTTTGGCAGGATTGATATAGGTCTGTAGTTGTTAACATCTGTGAGATCACCACATTTGTGGACAGGCGTTACTCTCGCTTTTTTTTAGAATATCTGGAAAGGTTTGGAGTTCAAGTGACTTGTTGAAGAGCAAAGCAATAGCAGGGGCTAAAGATCTGGAGGCTTTTTTGTAGATTAAAGTTGGTATCTCCTCAAGGGCACCAGACTTGGTTTTAAGGGAAAGGATTATCTCATTGACGTCAGTGGAATTAATAGGCTTTAGGTACAGAGACTGTGGATAGTTACCTGTAAGATAGTCCTTAATGTCAGTACTGGAAGATGGAATATCATTAGCAAGGGATGAACCAATGGAAGAGAAGAACCTATTGAACTCAATAGCAGAATCCGAGGCTGAAAGCTGACCATCGTTATTAGACAGGAGTGTTGGTTTGTTAATTATAGACTTCTTTGATCCCAATATTTGTGAAATTGTTCTCCAAGTTTGTTTAATGTTGCTCTTTATTTGGGTAAATTTATCTTCGTAGTATTTAGTTTTGGCTCGTCTAATTATCTTAGATAGCAATAATGAGTAATTCTTTGAGAATTCTTTGGAGACAATTCCTAACCTATACTTCTTCTCAAGGTCATGTTTTTTATTAATAGATTTAAGTATTCCCTTTGTAAGCCAGGGATTGTTAAGCCTTTTGGTTGTGACTTGTTTTGTAAGCATAGGACAGTGGGTATTATAAAGGCTAAGAGTTTTTTGAAGAAAAGATTGAACTGCTAGGTTGATGTCCTCTATGTTACCTAACTCGGACTCCCAGTTGACATTATCAGTAGCAGTTATAAAATTGTCTATAGCAGTTTCATTGTGTAGTCTAAAACGTATCTCTCTTGACTCAAGAGGTGGTTTGCTAATGTTAGTTAAGAGAAATGTGGGGTAATGGTCTGTAGTGCTATCGGTGATTATACCTGAAGTAAGCGGAGAGGTTATGTTTGTCCAGATGTGATCTAGAGTCGTGGCAGTGCTATCAGTGATTCTAGTAGGTCTAGTGATTAAGGGTATGAGGAAGCAGGAGTTCATACAGTTGAGGAAGCTAACAGCAGTAGGGTGTTCTGGCTCGCAGAGTTCTTTCTGTTCTTTCATAATCATGCTTGGGGAAGTAAAGTTTCTGTTCTTTGGCCACTTTTCTTAACATCAACTGTTGTACAGGCTCCCTAGTGTATTTAACTCCGTCATATCTGTATTTGAAGCACTGAATTGAATGTGCAGTCGCCATTTCACTTTTCATCACATATTATTGGACTACTACACTTAAAATTAAAAGGGTTAGGAACTGGCTAGATCCATTCCCTAGCCCTGGCCTCTGTTGAATCACACTGGTAATATCTCATCACTCTGAAGTCTCTCTTTTTTTCAAAGTGCCTATCTTCAGTTGCTTAGATATTCTCGTATATATTGGAACACTCTCTCTGTCATTTCTCACTGCTTCTCTAACTTGTACATTTTGCAACGTTGCACACTAGTTTAAACTATGGGTGAAGTGTAAATAACATAAGAATAAAGGAAACTGTGGAATGGTCACTGACCCATACGAGGCAGCCTCTATTTACATCCATTTAAAGTCAACTATAGTCAACAAAGTCAACACAATCGACTTGAGAACGGTCCAGGACGGACCGAACGGACGGACCAGGACGGACACTATATATATATATATATATATATATATATATATATATATATATATATATATATATATATATATATATATATGTTTAGTATATACCCGGTAATTTGATCCATAAATCAGCATCCTTGTTTCCAACAACCCTGACCTTTTGGACAAGAGCAAACCTGTCGACTGTTTCCCGACATTTCTGGATAAGAAAGACCATCGTGTCTCGTGTGTTCTTCCATCTATGTTCTCTCGTGGTACGTCTGATAGAAATGATCTTATTCGCTCATAATTTGCCCTTTGGAATGCCATTCTTCTCTCTACTGATCTTTTTCCTGGCTCAGTCATTCCTCCATTCACAGGATATTCAAATGAAGTACAGTGACCGATGATTCTCAAGGGGGGGCTATATCGCTTATTTCCTTTAAGTCTATCTCATTTACAGTGAATATGAAGACAAGTTTACTGGTTTGTCTTTATCCCTCATTCTTGTCAGTCCCTTGACATGCTGTTTAGAAAGTCTCTCATTATTGTTTCCATTAGACATACGGGTTGAGCATTTGGGCAATGATTTGATGATGGGCTGTTCTGTTTGAGGTCCTTTCAACCCTCTTAAATATCCGCCCTCATTTTTCATCTTTATAATATGAATTGTGTGCAAAACGTTCAATATTAATCATATTAACCAATATGACAGTGAAAGTTGTATAAACACTCTAGTCCACACCTGTGATTAATGCTATTCATATAAATATAGATGTACATAGACCTTAGCATTCCATATATGGATATATGGGATATAACAATGAGAGGTGTATTTAGCTTTCATTGCACATAAATACTGAAAAGTAATTATTGAAATGTTTTCAACTTACAACCCCTCTATAAGGTAAGCAAAACTCATATATATGCTTCGGCATTGTAATACAAAAATACATATCCATGGGTTTACATATAACAAAACATTTGTAAGATATTACAAAACAACACTTGTTTTCCTTATTATTACATAAACATGCACGGCAATTCAGTAGACATTTTAAACAGATAACATGAACAAATGAAACACTTTCAGGTAGCATTCTCAGCTCGTATGTCTAGTCGACCTCCTCGACTGTGGGTCCCGAGCTAGCGGAAGCTCCTCCCTGGCCTCCGCCGGCGCCCTGCCCATGCACCTTGCTGGCCAGAGGACGCCACACTCTCTCTAACTCCTTCATCTGGTGCTCGTATTCCTCCTTCTCTGCCAGCTGGTTGGCGTCCAGCCAGTTGAGAGTTTCTTGAGCTTTCTCCTCGACGGATCTCTTCTCCTCGGCTGAGAGTTTGTCGCCAACTGAAGGTTCAGAGACTGCCGACTTGATGCTGAAGCACAGAGCCTCTAAGCGGTTCTTGGCTTCCACTCTTTCTCGTTGTTTGGCGTCGTCTTCGTGGTATTTCTCTGCTTCGTTTACCATTCTCTCTATCTCTTCTTTACTAAGGCGACCCTTGTCATTGGTGATGGTGATCTTGTTCTCCTTGCCGGTCGACTTGTCGGTCGCAGATACGTTAAGGATGCCATTAGCATCGATGTCGAAGGTTACTTCGATCTGAGGCACTCCGCGAGGTGCGGGAGGGATGCCACTCAATTCAAACTTGCCCAAAAGATTGTTGTCTTTTGTCATGGCTCGCTCTCCTTCATACACCTGGATCAACACACCTGGCTGGTTGTCAGAATACGTGGTGAATACTTGCTGTTGCTTGGTTGGGATGGTTGTGTTTCGTTTGATGAGAGCTGTCATCACTCCACCTGCTGTCTCTATACCCAGCGACAGAGGCGCCACGTCCAGCAGGAGAACATCCTTCACGCCCTCAGACTGGTCTCCGTGTAGGATGGCCGCTTGTACGGCAGCACCGTAGGCCACCGCCTCGTCTGGGTTGATTGATTTGTTGAGTTCCTTTCCGTTGAATAAGTCTTGCAGCAATTTTTGTATCTTTGGGATGCGGGTAGACCCTCCCACCAACACCAGTTCATGTATGCCAGCTTTGTCTATCTTTGCGTCTCTCAAAGCCTTCTCCACTGGCTCTAGTGTCCCTCGGAAGAGGTCTGAACACAGCTCCTCAAACCTGGCGCGGGTGATGGACGTGTAATAGTCAATACCCTCG